TGGTGTCTGTTGCTGAATACCAACTGCTATCCCTAGCTAACGTTGAGCTAGTGATTTGCTGCTGCAATTATTCAAGCCCTCCGACGACGCATCAAAAGATCATTCCACAAATGTCCATTATAAATACGACCTTATTACTCAGTAAATTATATTAAGTAATAAGGAATTCAAAATAAGAGGTTGGCAAGATGAGATACTAAGTCAAAAAATGGTGGTAATTCATAATAATGACATAGTAAAAAAAGTCAAACCAATGAGTGGTCCTTTTTTTTAAGATGTTATGTCATACATTTTAAAGAGTCATAACGTACAATTTTTTCTTCCTCGTGTCAGAAATGGGCTTCCATATGCCATACCATTTGGCTTAGTGTCAGAGAAATTTTGGAAAAAAATCTTAGGAATACCTTAAGATAATACAATTAAAAGTTAACCCTAGAGTCTGAAAATTGGGAGACTCCCAAAAACTTATTGTGAATTATTATAAAAATTAAGAAACTGTTCATGTTACTCGCTGGCACAGCTTGGGGATAAAGTGGTTTTAAAAAAAACTTAAATCGTAATGTCCGTCCTGTAAAGAAAATATTTAGTATAGTGTGGGGAGCAAAGTATGAAAAACAGTGGTTCTCTTCTGGTCTTTCCATCGTCACACCCCCTGGGCTGGAAAAGTATTGTTTCCTCCTTAAATGTCCTTCCTAAAGTTGTGACATAGACTTTGTCAACATACACTACAACCTTATTATAATCATTAGGAAGTATTTGGAGAATATTTTCCATTTTGATATTGTGAACGTGGGAGAAGTGTCCACCATACCAGGGTCGTGAAGTACTTTTTAGTTTTTCTCCTCTCTTTTTTGTATTTGTATTTTGGTAAACACTTTCTTAAAAAATCTTGTAAAATCTGCACTGCAGAGAAACCAATGAAAAAGCAGCCTAGTTTGCTGGAAAGCGTTAATGTACATTTAGTGTAGTGCTGATATCAAACCACTAGGAGGCAGTAGTCAATCTACACTTGAGGTTCAACTAGCTCAGGGGTGTCGAAACTATAGAAAATATACGAAGGTCTGGGCCAGCCAATAGAGGTGAGGTATATTGCCTCATAAGTTAAGTTAGAAGTTAGAAAGATCAATCAAAAGTAGGTAAATTATGCTTGATACTTGGATATGCTTTAATATTTTTTACATCACTTTGTGATGTCACAATGTTTTGGTATTTTTTTGGGTTGTGCAAGCATTAGCCAATAACCAACCTTATCACCTGAATCTGCTAGAGCACAATTGTGTTTTTTTAAACCAAACATCTGGCAGAGGGGCATGGGGAGAGGTACACTAATAAACTGAAATGTTGCCCTTAATTAGGGCCTGAGCCCGAGAGCGCTATGACCCAACGGCGTCCTAGCACGAAGTGCGAGGAACCTATTGTAATTGGTGGATTTTTTCTTCTTCCTGCGCTTTAAACCTGGGGAAATGATCGGAAAAATTCCAATCCAGGACACGTTCAGTTCATATACATTGCGAAGGAATAGTCGATCGCTTGGCTCTTCCAGACAGCCTCCTCGATAATTGATCGTCGATGAGCCTTTGGAGAAATTTGTTTTCCTTCGAGACGGCTCGCCGACATCCGTTTCCGGGTCGCTGCTGGAGGACCGAGGAGTCGAGGACGCGAAAATTAGAGAAATGACAAACGGCTCATTTCGCAGGACTCAAATGCATCGACTTGACGCCGGGTCGACCGGCAACCCTACCCGACAGGCGCATAGATGCGAGGGCCCGCTCATCACTGCGTGCACGACTGTGGCCGCAGTTTTAATTAAATGTATTATGTTAACAGATTTCACATAACTGTATTAGGTTAGTTGAAAGCAAAAATATTAAGTTTGAATTCAAAACATAAGGTTCAACTTAATATCATTGCTTTAAACTAACCTAATACAGTTATGTTAACTCTGTTGAAATAATACATTTAATTAGAGTCAACATTTCAGCGTATTTCATTTGCATTTAAAGCTTCAGACACAGAATCCACACTTTTGGAACAGGGCTGAAACATATGGGGTTGCTTCAATGCATGATGTGTTTGGTATTTCGAGACAAACACTTCAGAGACATGTTCTATATAGATATAATATATTGTTGAAAAAGAGTATATGGGGACCTTTAATTGAAGTCACCCCAGTTTATATTTTATAAAGTTACATCCAGAAACCAATGGTTACTAAGGATAAAAGCTGAATTTGATGACATTATATTGTGCCTAGTGTAGTAAAACAGATCTGATGAGTGTTTACTGCCCTCAAATGGTCACAGAAGGGAATAACAACACTAGGTTAGAATGGGAATGATTTATCGACACGCTTTGTTGGTTTGCCTGGTGAACGGGGCTCTCTGTACTGTATGTTTAAAATACTATAAGGGAAGTATTATAGTATGGCACATAATATTAAAATAAAAAAAAAGTTTTTCCAATTTACAAGTGTATAAAAATGTAATATGTTCAAAACAGTAATTGTAAAAATATCTTGAAATGAGTCAGAGTATTGTATGTTGAAAAATAATGGTAGAGCATGTTAAACATTTCATGACAAAAATGTGTAGTACAGTATGTCGAAAATATGAGAAAAACCACATATAGTATGTCAAAAAATATCACAAAAAACTGAATAAAAAAAAAAAAATAGTATAGTGTGTCATCTTAGTAAACAATAGTATAATAGTTTAGTATGTTGGGGAAAAAATGATAAAGTCTAGTATGTCGAAATAGTTGGAAAAGACAGCATAGCATGTGGCAGTGGCTCAGTCAAGTAGGAGCTTGGACTGGGAGCTGTAGGGTTGCTGGTTCAAGTCCCCGACCAGACCTAAATATTGAGTGTCGACTGCTACTTGGAGAGGTCCCAGTTCAGCTCCTGCCCTGCTGTGGTGCCCTTGAGCAAGGCACTGTACATCCCCCTTCCCCCTCACTCCCCATTGCTCCCCGGGCGCTGTACAATAGCTGCCCACTGCTAGGATGGGTTAAATGCAGAGGCCAAATTTCACTGTGTGCTTGTGTGACCATAAAAGAGGGTTTCATCCCTCCAATTCTATTCTACAGAATTGGAAAACATAATACAAAACCTTGTTAGTGATGGTGATGGTGTGGTAAAGTACATACATACATTACACTATTTGTCTGTTGTTGTAATAAAGTAAATTACAAATGTGCAAATAAAGGATTCTTATATTTTGGCTATTCTTCTGGCTTTGAATTGAGTGGAAGAAGTCCAGACAAGGAAGGTATTGATAGGCTCTGACTCCAGCAGTGCATTGGAAAGCATTAAACATAGGCCTTCAGAAACAAGACAAGACATAGTACCGGAAATAGCACAAACACTTCAACAAATTTGAAGGGCAGGAGCGGTCACCTATTTCATCTGGATTCCTGCACACATTGGGGTGGAGGGAAATTATCTGGTATATGCAAAGTTGGAGACAAAGAAGAGACAAATTAGTATGAGTGTGAAATATTGCAAGGCTAAGATCACAAGCATCATGAAATCCCAAATGAAAAAGAAATGGCAGGATGAGTCAGTGTAATAGAGGAGTAAAGGACAGACATTGTTATAATGTTAGTTGGAGAAACAAGAGAAGTCAACACAATAACGTGCGGCAAATGTGAATATTGTAGCAAGCTAGCAATGACAAAACAATTGCTGACGTTTTTTTGCAATTTCTAAGAACTGAAGCAAGTACTGAACAGAAACCACACAGAATTAAATATATTTTGCGACGGAGTTCAGGGGATGTGGCGTAGGCCTACAGGGCAGTATTTAGGTCTTAAAAATGGAATCCCAAATGAAAAAGAAACGGCAGGATGAGTGTAATAGAGGAGTAAAGGACAGACATTGTTATAATGTTTACAGGTAAATTGGAGAAACAAGATAAGTCAACATGTAAAAAAAAAAAGAGGACATCATTATCAGAATGAGATTGGTCATACAGGGCATAATAGCACGTTATTCATAGTGGAAAAAACATACATAAGGCAAATGTGAATATTGTAGCAAGCTAGCAATGACAAAACAATTGATGACGTTTTTTTGCAATTTCTAAGAACTGAAGCAAGTACTGAACAGAAACCACACAGAATTAAATATATGTTTGCGACGGAGTTCAGGGGATGTGGCGTACAGGGCAGTATTTAGGTTTTACAAACGGACAAGGATTATAATGTAGGATTTGAGGTTTTACAGTGCTCATCCATTCCATTCCAGAAGGTGGCGGTAAAGGCACCTACAAATTGTATGCAAACCGCCCCCTTAAGATTTTTTTGACCAATGAGATGTCTGCTGAGGCTGAGTGACATGAATTTGGACCAATCCTGTTAATCGGGTAACGGTTGATAGCAGCACTCCCATCTTCTCTGGTTAGTTCGTAGCTGCATCAGTACAGATTCAAACTTTTGTCTTGATCGGTCGGTTGGAACATTTGAATTCAACCAAAATGAGGGAAATCGTGCATCTGCAGGCAGGCCAATGTGGAAATCAAATTGGAGCTAAGGTAAGAGAGTAGTTTAGATTTACATTTGAATTCTTAACTCATTCATTAAGTGCGTAGATGTTAATGTTCGTTTGGGCGGGTTGATTAGCCTACTTAGCAGCAATGCTAATGAAAGCTACCTACGGGTTCAACCTGTTCGAATCGTTAATGTTAAGCCCCAACGACCCCGTCGGCGGGTCTTTTTTTTTTTTTTCATGACACTTCTTAATATTTTAAATATATATTTTCAAAAACTATGAATGTGTTATACCATTCTAACGGGAACAAACTCAGCTAACTGATGATACGAGCCATTTTTACCGAAACAAAACACAAGTCTCACAAGAAGCGTTAGCATTAGCCCCTAGAGAAAACGGGCTAATGCTACTTCAGGAGCTAACTAGCAAAAACGATTTTTAATAATAATATGTTCTGCACAGACTACATATCATCTGAAAGCTGATACTCCACTGATTATTTTGATATAAGTATCATCACTGGATGACAAGAACTCACTGAGCTAGCAGCCAGAACATAGCAAATAAACAACATCAGTTTTCAAATCCATGACAATAATTAGGTCTTACCTTGTGATTTTTGTGATCAAAAGTTGTGTTCAACGGAATAAAAACGCTGCTCAAGGTTAATCCAATGTCTCTTAGTCACGTTAGAATTGTTTCTGATCAATCAATCCTTTCATTCATGGCAGAAAAGTAGGTACAAAGATTAGGGTCCGTAGCTTCAGCTGCTTGACATGCAGTTTACGCATAGCTCCCCCTCCCCCGCCGTAAAGTATTTACGTATTTTCCAACTGCCACTCGATTCTATTGGCTCTAACGATTCAAAAAAGGTGTAAATCACGCAAATCGACCAATGGGTTCCAGAGATAGGGTCCTGCGTAAGTGTACATCAGGCCAGTATGCTGCTTCCCCCACACTCTTGCTACGTTTTTGACGCAGCAGAAACACATTGAGAGGAGCGCAGATCACCGGCAGATCACCGGGACAGCGAGACAGCAGGATTATCAGGGAAAACAGCCGGATTTGTTTTATTTCTTCATTTGAACAATGGCAGCCAGAAAGAAGACTTTATTGTCCATCCAGGAGGCATTGGAAATGGTATTTGAGGACTCTCCGTCGGAAGATAGTGATCTTATCACGCATCGAGTGACTCCGATTATGAAGTTCCACCAACGGAAAGGTATGTAATCTCTCTGTTTGTATCTATTACTTATTTATTTGGTGTAAGAGTATTCATCTGTTTTTATCTTTTAGTTATTTATTTGGTGTTAGAGTATTCGTCTATAGTAATTTTACACGCATAACAATAACACAACGGCATCCATCTTGTGATCTAATGTTATTTCACAAATACTCAACAACAAACAAATAAAATGGATGCCGTTTATTGTTCAAAGACTAGAAATAAACAAGACAGTAGAAAATATACATGTTGAATTTAACACGGTATTATATATATATATATATATATATATATATATAAAATATACACATACATATATAAATATATGACGGACGGAATATTAATATTAAATATTGAACAGATTATATTGATATAATCTGTTCCCCCGTCTCACATAATTTACATTACTGTTGTTGTAGAGAAATTATTTCTGATTTGAGTTACATTTTTGAAAGTACAAGCCAGTGAATTAATCTATTTGTTTTCTTTTTTTTACCATTTTATGGACATTTCCGTGAAGGAGCTGCACAAGAGGAGGGGTGACCCCGGCAGGACGAACCCACACACCCAGAAGTCCTTCAGGGAGCAGCTTGCAAAATAAATGGTTGAGTTTTCTGGAGACCCTGCAGCAGTACCACCCCGCCCACCAACCCCCACACCATCACTGACATGCATGCCCGAGCATTATGGGGAAGATGCCACCACGGTCAGGAGGTACTGCAGGAAGTGCTCTGATGCTGGCAGCAGAAGGGTGAAGACACCTGTGTACTTCAGGAAGTGTCAGGTCCCTCTGTGCTTCACTCCCAAAAAGAACTGTTTCAGGGCATGGCATGACTTACTGCAATAATACCATAACATTCAGGGTTGGTTTGTATAAAGTTTTGAGAGTTTTTATCACCCAATTTTTTTTTTTACCTAAAGTGTGGTGTTATTGTGTTAGTGCTAACATTCTTTTATATAAATCTGCTCCAGTTGGAGTCAAATGTTTCCTATGTTTCCTCATTTTTATTGTGCAAGTAAACATGCATCTCATGCAAAGAGGGAACTTCCCACACACCCACACACACACACACCCCACACACACACTTAAATATATATTTTAATTTTTTTAATTTTACAATCTTTTTTATTTTATTTTTATTTATTTTTATTTTTTATGGAATGAATACCTATAGTGATGATTCAATGTTATAAAATGATTTTTACTGTCTGGTACCTGAAAAAGGTCAAATGGCACTGATGGAACCAGACGTGCCCAAATGTGCCCAAAGCTTAGTCCGCCTGGGCTGTTTTTCCCTAAACCTCTCTAAAAAGGTCAATTTTCACTTGTTTTGCCTCAATCTTGATACAGTGTACTTATTATTAGTTATACTTTGAATTCCCAAAGCTTTCAGGCTACTAACCCATCATTCAAGGGTGGTTTTCACTATAAGTAATGGTTTTTTTTTTAGGCGGAGGTAAGAATTTACACTTTTTTACTATGTTCCATCTGAATTTTCTCTGACACAGAAACATCTATATTGATTCTGACACTTCTACATCCAACTCACAGATGTAACATTGCTTTGAGAAAAAAGATTATTAATTTAACCCTTTTAGAAGTGAAGTTAAAGTCATTTGTTCTGGGCATGTCATTTTCGAGCCTGAAACCTGAAAAACAGGCTTGGGGCTTAACAGGTTAAGCTAAGTCATGCTAGTTTGCAGGTAATTTGACCGTTGTTGTGTTTTATTCTCTTCTAGTTTTGGGAAGTCATAAGCGACGAACATGGCATCGACCCGACCGGCTCATACCAGGGGGACAGCGACCTGCAGCTGGATCGCATCAACGTCTATTACAATGAGGCTTCAGGTTAGCTTTGCTTTAGCTCTACTGTTGCTAGCGCCGCCGTTTCTAGGATACGGCAACAAGTCAACAAAACGTCAAGATAATTATACTTTCCAAAACAACAATACAGCTTTAACTTCTTATAATATTCTGTCGACATATATTAGCCAGTCACTTCGGTTATTTTGTATTATTTATTATATATTAGGTGTAACAAGGGGTTAAATTGAGCGGAGGCTGAGCCCGGCAAATAGGGCGATGCTCTGACGTCATCACCCCCGTACCGTTGTCAGAAGATATCAGAAAAAGATATTCCAAAACGTTTCTCGTTCTTAACTATACTATATTTAGGGTCGATATGTGTTGACTTTATTTTAAAATCGGCCTTGGTGAACTTGTGTCTCTGCGTTGGAGCTGCAGCACCGCCCAGACTCCGCTGCGGGCGGGTGGTGCAAAGGCTCTGCGCCAAACCACCCCGCCCGTCTTGGTAACACGGAGCCCGTTTCTTACACCATGCTATATGTATGCCTGTGCTTAAAGCTGAGTTATGATCAGTCATAACACCGAATGTGGTTATGATCAAATTGTGTATCGTGAGATTTACAGCATACTGTAAATGCTGAGATTTCCGAACAAATATTTTTAAGCTACGCCGACCAATACAAAGCACGTACACATTTTTGTGTATATATTAATAATTGAAGATGTATATTAATTCAAGTTTAATGTCACTATTAGAAAGACGGTCATATTTGTAATACTTTTTTGTCTCATTTGGTGGCATCAATGTGCGCATTTGATACAGTAGCAGATTATGTGATGTGCGACCACGCCCGCACCTCGACACAGAGCCCCCATAGACAATCCCAATTTAACCCCTGGCTAACCTTGTGCTGTAAGAAGACTGGACTGTATTAATGCCAGACAAACTATTATAAAATATAATTGAGCGTACAATATGCTTTTTACTGTGTTTGGTCATACTTTAAGAAAGCAAAGTCTTTGATGAAAAAAGATTAACATGGTTTTGCTTGAAGTAATTATAATGCAGCTATTAAGAAAAAAAAATGCTTAATATAAATAATGTCGTCTTGTGTTTGAATCACCAGGTGGGAAGTATGTCCCCCGGGCCGTGCTGGTGGACTTGGAGCCCGGCACGATGGACTCGGTGAGACAACTTTGTCTTTGGTGAGAATATGAAAATGTCTTGTGTTTTAACTTGGGTTATTGAAGTTGCCATACTGTGATTAAGCAACTGGATTAGGGCTGAACAATATATTCCAAAAAATAATTTGTCGTCTTGTGCGATATACACATTGTGAAAGGCTGAATTATTGCATTTAAGTATTTTTGAATGAGTTCACAGACTTTGAACATAAAACTGCATTACTGCAACTATCATTATTTTTTTATTGCTGCTTAATTTTTTAACTTACATTTATTAGTTTTACATAAAGCCATGCCATCGTATGTTTTCCGCATATTGTGCAGCCCTGATCTACAGTCACTCTTCACTAGGGATTGGTATCGTTAGGATTTTATCGATACCAATACTAGTTATCGATACCGGTATTTTTCGATACTTTTCATAATTTGGTGCTCAAAATTATAGACATGATTACAAGATGATCCCACCACGGAGGAATCTGGGAAAGACAAATCAGAACCGTCAGACGCATTCTCAGTGCCCTCACGCAAGAACAAAAGCTTGACGAGGAAGGACTTGCCACTTTTCTGCGAAGTAAGTGCGATCATAAATGATCGACCCATAACGACTGTTTCCAACGACCCTGAGATTTAGAGCCCCTCACTCCAAATCAACCTTTTGCTGCTCAAATCAAAACCATTTCTTCCGCCTGGTGTCTTCAATCCGAGCGACTGCCACGGGAAGAGAAGATGGCGCCAAATTCAGTACATGGCCAACTTATTTGGAAGCGATGGACCAAGAATACCTACCGGAACTCCAAATAAGGCAAAAGTGGAACAGGAAAAGGAGGAATTTTGCAACCGGGGACTTGTCCTTATCGTCGACGAAAATGCTCCAAGAATTCCTGGCTCATGGGACGAATAACGCAAGTCTTGCCAGACTCGAGAGGTTTTGTACGACAAGTGGAAGTACAGTCAAAAACAGCACACTCCGTCGACCCATCACGAAGCTGGTACTGCTGGTCGAGTCCCAAACGAGCTCTGCCCCCTTCCCCACTCTTGCACCACACACAGCACATTTACACACAACCGGATTCATGGTGTAATACACATTCACCCCACTAAGGGTCAGAAGCCCCGAAGATGGACACTATATTGCAGTGGACTTCATATGAATTATAGTTGTTAACAAAACAAATGTTTTGTATTGGCTCTCCATTTTATGTTTATTAGTAATTGTCATGGTGTGATTCCATAACAATTAGGGGCCGGAGTGTAGGAGCCAAAAAACGTTTTGATTTGATTTATTATTTCTATCTATTTAATCATTTATGTATGTAATGGAGTATAATTGTTTGGTGTCATTTGATTGGGATCCGCAGCCACGGTGGAGCGGAGCGGCTTGATTGGTGCTGCCGATTGCCTCAGCTGGTTTAAAAGAGTCCTGCTGATTACACTCTGGGTGCTATTTTGGTTGTGAAGCCGAGCTGGTGGACTCGGTCCTGGATGTGGTGAGGAAGGAGGCGGAGGGCTGCGACTGCCTGCAGGGCTTCCAGCTCACACACTCCCTGGGTGGAGGAACCGGCTCGGGCATGGGCACGCTGCTCATCAGCAAAATCCGAGAGGAGTATCCAGACCGCATCATGAACACTTTCAGCGTGGTGCCTTCCCCCAAGGTGCTTATAATACACCAAAATACTACAACATTAACTATGTTTCTTGTCTTATTTCTTGCCTTAATGTAAATCCTTCTCCCTCCCCCGACCTCAGGTTTCAGACACAGTTGTGGAGCCATACAACGCCACCCTCTCCGTCCACCAGCTGGTGGAGAACACAGATGAGACCTTCTGCATTGATAATGAGGCGCTGTATGACATCTGCTTCCGCACACTGAAGCTCACCACCCCCACCTACGGAGACCTCAACCACCTCGTCTCAGCCACCATGAGCGGTGTCACCACCTGTCTGCGCTTCCCCGGCCAGCTCAATGCTGATTTGAGGAAACTGGCCTGTCAACATGGTGCCCTTCCCCAGGCTGCACTTCTTCATGCCCGGCTTCGCCCCATTGACCAGCCGTGGCAGCCAGCAGTACAGGTAGATATATACAAAAGCATTAAGAATTGTAATTTTTCTAGAGAACATAAAATGAATGTAAAGCAGGTTTGGCCTCAATATCCTTCCGTACTTCCATTGTTGATTTCTAACAATAATTGCCTCGCCTTGAAAAGGCAAACAAAGGGAGAAATTGGAACAAGCTAAATGTATTGCGCTCTTACCAGTTTGTCATGAATTACAGCACCACACGTTTTGTTTTTTTGATCCTCCCCCAAAATACATGTAAATGTGATTAAGACGATTATATATATTTTTCACTTAAAACAACACATTAACAAATGCATTTTGAAATAAATCTTTATCGGATGGTGTGTCCTCCCCAGGGCTCTGACGGTTCCTGAGCTCACCCAGCAGATGTTCGACTCCAAGAACATGATGGCAGCCTGTGACCCACGCCACGGCCGCTACCTCACGGTCGCCGCCATCTTCAGAGGCCGCATGTCCATGAAGGAAGTAGACGAGCAGATGTTGAATGTGCAGAACAAAAACAGCAGCTACTTCGTAGAATGGATCCCAAACAACGTGAAGACTGCCGTCTGCGACATCCCTCCCCGTGGCCTCAAGATGGCCGCCACCTTCATCGGCAACAGCACGGCCATTCAGGAGCTGTTCAAGCGCATCTCAGAGCAGTTCACCGCCATGTTCCGCCGCAAGGCCTTCCTCCACTGGTGAGTGATAGAGGGTTTACGTATTTCAAGATTAATCGTTTGGACAAATAAATGTCAGGAAAGATTGAAAGTTATATGTAGTGAGTAATATTTCCTTGTTTCAGGTACACCGGCGAGGGCATGGATGAGATGGAGTTCACAGAGGCTGAGAGCAACATGAACGACCTGGTGTCTGAGTACCAGCAGTACCAGGACGCCACCGCTGAGGAGGAGGGCGAGTTTGAGGATGAAGG